CATCCATAGGCGGATCCATAGGAAGGGGGGGTGTAGGGGGCAAATGCCCTCCGCTCAACCGTAAAAAAGGAGGATGAAAAAGAAAAAATAATGAAGGTAGGAACGGAGGAAAGAAGTAGGTAAGACGCTTGTATTTGGTAATTTTTCACACTGGAAAAAAAAACACATTGGATCTAGAGTCCAGACTCTTGAAAACATTGACAAGAAAAAGGACTCTTGATTCAAGCAGATTTAAGCTTAAATCAAAAGGAAATTCGCTCAAAGTAAGAGGCCCCTGGTTCTTGATTTAAGCTTAAATCTGATTGAATCAAGAGTATTTTTTCTTTTCGATGTTTTTAAGGGTCTGGACTCTAGATCCAATGTGTTTTTTTCCAGTGCATGACAAAATTAAGTCAAACTGCGTGTTCTATGCTTTGAAATTTCGAAAAATTTCGCCCTCTCCCGTTAGAAATGTCCGAATCCGTCTATGCGATCATCACCATAAAATCGTTGATGACGTCCATTTTATTGAGGTAAATTTGCGCGGAGAAAACTAAAACCTACCACTAGTGTTGACGATTTTAGCGAGCTAACAAAAAAATAATGACGAATTTCAACTTTAAAGCGCAGCTTCTCTGTAGCGAAATGCTTTTCAGGCTCCAGGAAAATCATCGAATCTTCCAGGAGGGAACTGAGCCGCCATAAAAGATAACGTGGAGTCTTGGCGTTTGGAGTTGCGGGCGTAATTTACCAGCCGAACACCTCCCGTCGCCGAAACCTTTCTTGAGCGCGAACCACATCCAAAGCGAAACTTTCTTTTGACAGCGTTTTCCGGCGCTCTCATCAGGACGCGGGCAGGAGGGGGAGGCGGAGAGGGGGCGGCGGAGAGGGATCTGCTCCAGGGGGAGTTATTTATAATAAATTTGTGAAGCGTGGGATATCAAATTCAGGTATTTTGATGATTCTTGAAAAGCCCCGCAGACAGACACTGTCAAAACAGTTCGCCGCGCTCTAACGCACCCCGCCTCGCTCGCTGGACAGAATTTGAGCCGCCAGCCTCATTGCCGGATCAAAATAAGAATTCGCGGGGGGCCCTGATGGGGCATCTACACATATGCCCCCCCCCCCAGATTTTGAAATAGTACCATCTATCCCCTCCTAATAAATCTAATAAATTGTTCAGTTATAACAAAGAGTATGATAGGAAGTCTGCATGCAAAACGAAAGGGGATGTATTCGATCGGCATGAATCGAACGGTGAATAAAAACGTGAATCGATCGACGTGAACCGATCGACACCGAAAAAATTAAACAGGAGCTGCAATTTTAAATCACCGCAATGGAGATACATGGTTTCGCACTTTGGCTAACGATACACCCCTTTGGTCTACAACAACCACCCGTTTCAATCGATAAGATCACTCGATTATTCTCCCTCCGTCTTTTTTGTCTATAGCTTTATCCATCAATATCAAAAATCAGCCTGCTAGAAGGACGTAGACCCCTCCTAGAAGAGTAGGGGCCAGACCCTGGAAACACCCTTCTGGCTACGCCAATGAGAAAGCTGCCTGATGTGAGGTCGACGTTTTTAACGGACTTACAAACGTCGCCTCTCTGACGTCAGGGCGTCATTTCCACTTTAGCTCGGTTCTCCGTATAACTTCATGCTTTTCGGGGCTCATGTGAAAACAGAGATACGCTTTTCAGTCAGAGGAGCGACAAAATAGAGAAAGACAAGTGTTGCCAACTCTCTAGAATAACCTTTGTCGCAATGAAAAGTTAGAGCAACAGTCGAGAGTTGCGACACCTTATTTTCTCGTTCGGTTGAAAAAGAAAAAGAAAGAGAAAGAGAAAAGGAAAGAGAAAGAGAAAAAGAAAAAGAAAAAGAAAAAGAAAAATGAAACGAAAAAGGAAAGAAAAAGAAAAATGAAAAAGAAAAGAAGAAGAAAAAGGAAAAGAAAAAGAAAAAGAAAAAGAAAAAGAAAAAGAAAAAGAAAAAGAAAGAGAAAGAGAAAAAGAAAAAGAAAAAGAAAAAAAAAGAAAAAGAAAAAGAAAAAGAAAAAGAAAAAGAAAAAGAAAAAGAAAAAGAAAAAGAAAAAGAAAAAGAAAAAGAAAAAGAAAAAGAAAAAGAAAAAGGAAAAGGAAAAGGAAAAGGAAAAGGAAAAGGAAAAGAAAAAGAAAAAGAAAAAGAAAAAGAAAATATATAACGGAGCGCTGACGAGGTGCGCCTCGGGGGTAGGCAAACGCATATACAGCCACGATACGACGCGACGCGACGGCACAAGCAGTGCAGCGATGAAAATTAAGTTCTGCCTCGTATAATGAGTCAGAAAGTATCCTCGTTGTTAGACTTAGGAAATCGGTGCAATTTTATACCCAAAGCCTGCCTGAAACTTAATTTTATTAATTAGACGCCGGAGAAAATTGGGTGCAAGAGTAGGGGTGTATATTGCTAAAAGCGACACGCTTCAATTTGGTGGTGCCTGGGTTTCTTCAGCGGACTCGGTTGTCAATTTTAACGTTTTAATTAGTAAATTTGGACAAAGCCTCATGAGATCTCCCTAAATGTATTCATTTTTTAATAATAAAAAAAGATGGACATTTTTTTTAGAAGATAGACATTAATTAGAGTAAATGGACCGAGTTTAGTAGAGAGGACGCCACATCAACTATTGCCAAAAACTGGGAAATTTAATTTTTTTCAAGAGAACTTTTGAGCGGATTCCTTTGAAATTTGTAAGTAAATTTGTTTGTACCTTGACATTTCACTGAAATTTTCACAAAAATCCGCACAAAAATTTTCATGTAAGAAATTAAATTTGGCAATAGCTCATGTGGCTTGGTTCCTTTCTCCTTTACGCAGTCTCATTAGAGTAAATATGACAACGTTTGCCGTCATACGGCATTTTTCCTCAACACGTCAGTAATGTTGACTTTAATTAAATATACACTGATTCTAGCTGCAGTACATCAATTATTTATGTAATATTTTTCTCAAAAACACAGGAAAACTGTTTCGTAAAGAATCTTAAAGTTCCTTCATTCCGATTGGTATGCAATTTGATCCCCAGAGAGTTAAAATAGTTGCCAGAGAACAGGCTCCGGCGCAGCGCTGCGAATGGCGCTCTTCACGTCGCACAAAGGATCGAGTCAATTAAAAAGGTCGGACATGAAATTTTTGACTGAAATTGTAAATTTTGAAGTTTACCTTTTAAATTTCAATGGGTGCTATCAGCAGAAAATTTTACGAGGAAACCAATAAAGCCACTTTTAGAACCTCATAGGTTTATATAAACGGAGTAACAAGCGTTTAAAGTTTCCACATTTTGTCCAACCTTTCCTATTGACTCGATCTACTGCGCGTCGTGTATGTACTTAAATTTAACTACCGAAAAACGGATTTCGATCGCGGTGTTAGAACATTTCCGCTCAAATTTTATTTTTTCAAAAGAATACCACATGACATTTATGTGCAAAACTCTCAGAGAAAATATTCTTGAATAAAGAACGAGGAAAAAATCACACGAAATCTTGTGCAAATACGACGATTTGGCTCTCTGAAAACAAATGAGACGCCAGGGCCAGATTAAGGGGGTAAATTTTGCAATTTTTTCAATGTAGGTGTATAAAGAAATCGGATTTAGAAAACAAAATTACAAACGAGAAAAGGCGACAAAATCTCTAATTTCCCAAGAGTATAGTAATTTCTAATTTTGTCGTCTTTCAGTGATACAAGAGACAGCATTTTTAATTAGTCGAGTTGAGAGAGAAACCAAACACGCAATTTGGCCTGGAACGGCGCGACTTAGAGAGAAATGATGACAAGAACTTGAGATGAAGGAGAAGCCCTCGGTGCGGCGATCGGCATGTAACACATATTACCGCCTACAAGACTGCACGAATACTTCACGCATTGCATCAAACACAGTGCGGTCATTGCGGTCAGCGTGAAACGGATAGCGCCTACAAGAATGCATGAATACTTCACGCATTGTGGCAAACACAGTGCGATCAGCGTGAAACGCATAGCGCCTACAAGACTGTCGGAATACTTCATGCATTGCGTCAAACACGGTGAGGTCTGCGCGGCGCGGCGGCGGAAGTTAAAATCATTAATCCACATTTGAATCAGTGAGAACGAAAACACACCAACTCGAAAAAATGAAAATAATCAAGACGCACACAAAACTGCACAATAGGTGAAAATGTTAGCACGAGAAAAAGATTTTTGGTGGCATAAGACAAGAACTTAAGGACACTTTTTAAGTCCAAGTTGGAACAGTTGCGCTAACTTCAATGACCTTAAAAAAATGGACTGTCTTTAATGAAAAGTGAGCCTTTTTGAGAAACCGAGTAGGTGTGTTTTCGTTCTCACTGATTCATTTATGTTTGTTCTTTCATGATTTTTTCGTTCATTTCTTATGAATGAAAGGCCTAGTCCACACAGAGATAGATTTACGAAACTTAACTTTCGCGCAAAGTTCCGTGATTTTTTGCTAGTAGTGTTGACAGGGCTTTCCCAAAAAATGTGTTTAACACGAGTGAACGCGTCTTATGCACCCCTATCCCTCTGGCACGTTCATTAGATGTTTTTTATTAATCAGTCATTATCTCACGTCATTAAGGAAATTTAATTTCGTCACCCTCTGGCCAAAGTATTGCATGCCATGCGACGTTAAAAAATTTCCGTCGTCATTTTATTTTTTTACAGAGAAATTGTTTAACGAAGCTGTCCGAAAATTTCACTGGATCTTCTTTGTGCTGCCGTTAAAATTCAGTGACATTTTCAAACAGATTAAACCATAAATTTCTTTGTAAAAAAGTAAAACGTCGGCGAAAATTTTGAAATGTCGCATGGCGCTTGTGATTTTTTGGCCGGAAGGTGACGACAAAAAGACAAAAGGAACATTACCTTACCTATGCAGGAAAACACGTGCTCTAAAAAGAACTCCGAGGTCCGAACTGGCAACAGTGAATGGTTTGTTTTGATGATTTGTTTTGGTTTGTGGTGAAAGCAGATAAGTGGGGGTCATGAGGTTATGAATCCTGAAAACTTTTTATTGCAAAATGTGAATTAATTCGTATATATCCTGCTCTTAAATTGTGCACATATTTGTGAAGTTGAGTTTAAATATTTTTTTAATCATCATCATCTGTTGCGTGGAACAATGCGTGAATTTTCGGTGAACAAAATTCTCTCTCATTATCAGTGATAACATTTGTAAACAATGACACCAAACGAGCGAACTTATCGCACAAACCTCGTATTTTTTCTCAAATTGATTTGAAATTCAAAGCTGGAAATTCTTCAGAAAGTAGAACAGCACCATGCCTTGCTCAATAAATTCCAGAGGCACAGCTCTCTGTAAGCTGAACGGCCTGCTCCAATGTCATAATATTTATCATTCGGTTTCACCTTCGATCAAAATACCTAAAGAGATTGCAGGCATAAAATTATGTTGCCGCGGATTGAGCTCAAGTCAAAAATTGTCCTACAAAAGCTCTAAGAAAGATACGAGCGAATGTTTGCCGAAACAAGCGAAAGTAACAATTTGTGGCGGAGGTATCATGGGCGCAGCAGTGGCGTATCATTTAGCGAAACTAGGATGGGGACCCCATACTCTGGTGCTGGAACAAGGGAGGTAAATAAATTGTATCATTCACTTTTAACGCTCTATCTCGGCTATGCTACATGTCTGGTTCTTATAACTAGGAACAATTCGGAGCCTACAAAATTGGATAGTTTTTAAGATTTAAACTGCTGCTTTGAATCGCATCATAGAATCATACTGTTGCATAAAATTTCACAATTGGTTTCGAAATTGGTTTCCCAATCACTTATCAAATTCTGTCATGTTCTTACTGAGCTCTAATACTTTTTTGCAGGCAATTCCAAGGACACATCAACACTCTTTCGAAAGAAAATCACAAGTACATTTTGACAGAAATTGAGTCGCTAGTGATGGTGATTCCCTCTGGTACCTTACATACAACCAAAATAGCCTCTCATATTAAATAATTGAATGCCTTGAAGAATTGGTGAATAAAAAAGAGGGGGGTGTGAGAAGTGCCAATGGAGAAAAGCGATTTAATGGCTTTTTTAGCTTCTTCGTTTATGCTTAACTTAACCAGATGCAAATATCTCAATCATCAAAAATCATGCATAATACCGTATTGATCTACTGCTCTGTTCATAGAGTCTCCCTCTAAAATGTAGTATTGCAAGTGCTTTTTCTCTTGTTGGCAATACCTATTTTTTTAAATTTTCATCAAGTTATCATTGGTTTATGTACCCATTCAATACTTGTGTGCCAAAATTCAAGCTGATATACCTACATAACATTTCTAGCCGTGGCAAATCAGTTTTTTATGTTTTTGGTAAAGTTTCGTATAATACCTATTTTCTGTTCCTGAAGCGTTGGAGGTGGTACGACATGGCATGCTGCAGGCCTTCTTGGTATTTTTAAGCCCACCCTTGCACAAGTAAAATTATGCCAGTCCAGTGTCGCACTCTACAAAGAGTTAGAAGAGCAAGGGTACCCAACTGGCTGGAAAGAATGTGGAAGTCTCTGTGTTGCAAGGACCTCAGACCGAATGACTGTTTACCGGAGGATGAAAGCTCAATCTGTGTGAGTAGCTCAATCTTCCCCTCTCCTAGAAATTATTTTAGGAAATTATTATCTACTGAACCACATGTGTCCCTTAGAGTAGTCACAAACCTTAAAAAAGTTGTCCGTGGCTCTGATAGGTATACATCTCCAGAATTTTTTCAACATGTGCAAAGGTTTGCCAGTTTTTAAGCATACGGATTTATAAGTGTGATATTTTTTGAAAAGTGCTCTCCGAAATGTGAACTTGTGCTCAGTTTTGCCAGTTTTTCCAGCTTTCAGATTTACAAGTTTGATATTATCAAGATAATGTTCCTTGAAGTTGTGGTTGAAAGAAAAAAGAAAAGTCAAATCGCGTTAAAATCTTGGCAGGTTCAATCAGGAAAGTTCTGATAACTATCAGCAGTGCTTTCGTCCTTTAGTTTCTCCTAATAGTATCTGTTTATATCCAGATTTTGATTGTTTAGAGCTTTAAAATACTTTCTAATTCATTGCTCCATGAAAGAGGAAGGGAGCAAGTGACTTGAGTTCCGGCTCCAGACACACTTGTATCCTCTCATACACTAAATCCTAAACTGCTCTTTTCCAAGTTTTTTTTACTATTCGTTCTCTTTAATGTCTCATACACTAAATCCTAAACTGCTCTTTTCCAAGCTTTTTTTACTATTCGTTCTCTTTAATGTCATTGTTTCATCCAACCAAACTTGACACCCCTTGACTCAAGGAGTGGGGGCCAGTAAACATTTTCAAAAGGGAACCATCCTCCCATAATGCATAAGGGTAAGAGAATGTAAAAAGAAAGAAATTCTGAGTCTCTCTCTATCCCCATATCCAAGTGTTCATAGTCAAAATGGAGCCCAAAAAAATTTTGAGATTAAGACTATCCGACTGTATTGACAGACACGCTTTTAAAGTTTTTGAAAATCCCTTAGTTGATATTTTCTTTTATTTCAGATCATGGAACATTCCTTGTGAATTAATAACTCCAGAGCGGGCCAAAGAAATATGTCCTCTCATTAATGTTGATGATTTAAAAGGTGCCCTTTGGATCCCAGGCGATGGAGTGGGTGACCCATACAAAATTTGCACTTCACTCCTTCAGATTGCTCAAGAAAAAGGTGAGAACAACAGGGACAATCATACCAAAAGAAGTTCCAAAGTAGGAAATCATCCATTCTGAAGAAATAATATTACATGAAGATTTTCTAGAGCTCGGGCTCTTGAACTCGGGTTCAATGATGGTCTGATTTTTACCTGGCAAATGAGAGGTTTTCCATCTTCTTATTTGCTCTGAAATTAAATGCAAAAAGCAAAATAGCAAATTTTCTAAATGTTCTTGAAGTTTCTCTCTTGATATATTACTAACCAGTTTTTTTTGTAAAAAAAACTTTTAATGCTGTAAATCAAAGAGAGCGGATTTTTAGTTTTGCTAGCGGCCTATAATTCCTTCTAGAACCCCTTTTAATCATCACTATTTGTTAGTGATCGTCATTTATTATTGTGATGTGGAGGATTTTTGATTAATTCGTCCTCTTGTGCAAAATATGTTTTAGGTGTTCAAGTTATTGAAAATTGCTCAGTGACAGGAATTCGAAGTGAGCATAGAAAAGTGAAAGTTATCGAAACAAACTTAGGTGCTGTCGAGAGCGAATTTTTTGTCAATTGCGGAGGTTTCTGGGCACGACACATCGGCCAATTGAGTAAACCCTCTGTCAAAGTGCCTGTTCACCCTGTTGAACATTATTATTTACAAACCAAACCTGTGCCAAATCTAGACTCTATGACTCCAGGTATGCTTTTGCAATTGCTAATGGATTTTGTTTAACATTATTTTGGTGATTTAACTTTAAATATTTGTAATTAGAATAAATAGAAACTTCTCAAGTTGCAATTTTACTGATTTGAACGATGTAATGTTACCCTCACCTTACAGATGCATCTATTGATATAAGTCAAATAAATGTTTCTGATGCTACCGTACATTGAGCATACAAAAAGAATATGTTCAAAGTTTTTCAGGCAGCCTGGATTACAGACAGAACAATATTCTTTAATGTTTATTCTACATATATCTACACTGATTGATTCCAGTAGTGATATAGCTGCCCTGTGGGTTCTCAGTTGGCTGAAAACTTCTTTTTTTTTATATATAAAATCGTATTCTCTAATTTGAGAAGTTGCGTTGTAATTTGGGAGGGTTTTTCACTGAGCTTAGATATTTGTAGATATTTTCAGATATTTGTAGTTATTTATAGGGCTTATACATTGTGCTTAATAGTATTGAGTACCTAAAGATGAATTTTTGCTCATCTTAGGTGTATCATTTACTAATTTTCTCCAAAAGTTGGCAAGAATAAAACCTGGCTTTCTTTAAGTTTCTGCTACTTTCATTTACAGTCTCGCTCAAATTTTCCTTTAATAACAATATGAATTTCTCATTATTTTTTCAGTTGTTCGTGATCAAGATGGTTATATATATTTTCGAGAGTTGAACGGTTGTTTTCTAGCAGGTGGCTTTGAGCCAGTTGCAAAGCCAGCTTTTGAAGATGGATATATTCCAAGTAAGAGTCTCTTAAAATGGTATAATAATTTTCCCGTGTCTTTCATTACTGTGATCTTCATAATTCAAACAAAGAAGCCCCGTTCAGTGAACACAAATTTGCAGTGCTAATTGCGAACATCTCTGTGAAACTAGAGAGAGAGAGAAAAGAAAAGTTATTCAAACCTATTATTTAAATAAGAATACAATTTAAGTGAAGGCCAAAATAAAACCATGAGAAAATTCACTCTGGAAAAGAATACTAAATTTCAGATTATCCGCACAAAGTGGCAGTTGGCTGATTCGGCCAATAGAAACTTCAGATTCATTACCGATGATTGCAAAAGTTATCAATGATAACTTTTTCTGGTTAAATTAGAGAAGATCTCTTTAAGGCTACTTTAATCCTATTTAATATTTCAAAATTCTGTCACTAGGAATTTGACTCTCAAAAATATTCACTATAGAAAAATCGGTGGTTTAACAATATTTCTGATCCCAAATTAATGATTGCCACTCTCTGTAAATCTTTTATTTTATCCCTGAACGTTTCTCAAAGTTCTGCCGTAAGAGCTCTACTGTCAATCAGACGCGTCAGGGTCTTTTCGTCAAATTGACTTTTAGAACTTTGCTATACATCATACTAAAAGTTGTGTTTTCCCAATAGCTACTCCCGGAGAAAGAAGACTTAGCGAAGATTGGGATCATTTTTTCATTCTTCTCCAAGAAATGCTGCATCGAGTTCCGAGCTTAGGAGATGCCGTTTTAGATAGCTTAACAAATGGTCCTGAGGCATTCTCTCCAGACTGCAAGTGGATTGTCGGTCAAGCACCGGAGGTGTGTCTCTTTTGACGTTAATTGAAATATTAATAACAAAATAGAAAAAAACCAGGCTCGTGTAATATTGAAGAAATAAATTATTTTTAATATAGTTTATTTCATGATTCCAGAAAAAGAGTCATGAACTTTATGACCAGAGAGAACCTTCTCTGAGTACACAATTGAGTTTTTATTCAATTTATTTATTTATTTTTAAAGAAAATTTACAAAAATGGATCAGTTGTGCTAGTCACAGAATTGCATTTTTACGTTTTAAACTTAAATTTTAACCAAAATTATCAAGATCCATCCAAACGCCTTGTTTTTATATCCAATATTAACCAAGATATTTCTTCGAGAAACATAATGAATGATGTCATCCATTACGATTTCTTCCACTTTGAATTCATCTGTCAGTGATACTACACACATTTAGTAGCTGGAATTGAAACACAGGTTAAACTAAGGTGGAAGAAACCATGGCACCCGTCACCATGTTGGACAACATCATCCGCTTTGTTCTTTGAAGGGCAATATCTCTGTTAATTCGGGATGCGGAAACTCAGTGCAGGGATGGATCATATTGTTTTCTGCTAAAATTATCATAACGCAGTGTGTGATCAGGGCAACTGACCCATTGTAGCAATAATAATAATAATAATCCAAGTTAGCAATTTCAATGGTGGTTTTCTCTAATACAGTTTTGTTATCTCCTTTTCAGATTAGGAATTATTTTGTTGCAGCTGGCATGAAAACTGTCGGCATCTCTGCAGCAGGAGGTGTAGGTGAAGCAACTGCTGAGTGGATTGTAAACAAGAGAACCAAGTATGATATGTACGAATTAGAAGTCTCTCGTTTCCTAGGGCTGCACAATAATATTAAGTTTTTACGAGATAGAATGAGAGAAGTTCCTGGTAAGTACTCAAATCAAGTCATTTTAATTGTACAGAATACATGTGTCTAGCTTAGCCCAAGACATCACACTTTCACAATGTGATTTACAACAAAAAAACTACATCTTAGCTCATCACAAAAGTATTTTTACACTACTGTGGGCTTACCTGCAAAAGTTGTACTCGCAGATAATTTATCCAAAAAAACTATGAGGTATCCTCACAGGGAAAAAATTATTTTTGCAGATTTTTAAAATTAAATTATGCATAAGTTATAACTAGTCTCTTGATATTGCCTTTTGATGATCCTATTGCATAGTTTTAACCTGTAAGATCTGTGTCATTCCCATGATAAAAATATGTTAAAAAAAGCATACTTTTCTACTGAGCCTATGAATAGAAACTGATCCTCCGCTGGCATCAGTTGAGATCAGTAAAAAATTCGATTATTTAACCAGCATTTCAACAACATCAATGGCATTTATATGGTCAACTGTTCTTTTATATTGAAAGTTTTGGCCTTAAGACTTAAATCATTTTGATTTCAGGACTACATTATAAACTTCAGTATCCGTTCAACGAATTTAAAACCGGTCGGAATCTCCGAATGTCACCAATATACCCCAAACTCAGGGAAGCTGGCGCAGTTTTTGGTCAGGTTATGGGATATGAAAGACCTACCTGGTTCAAACCACCGTCTGCACTTGAGTTCATGCCAAATGGTGTGCAGCCATTTGAAGTAGCGGAAACTAACACATTTGCTAAGCCTCCTTGGTTTAATGAGGTAATTTTTTACTTTCTACTTTTTTCAACCAGAGACCAATATCTAAGATAAAAATTTGTTTAAATATCGCCTGTGAGAGATTTCATTTTCAAAATTTGACCTGGACCCTCCTCTCACAGGGGGTGGGGGATCATCCCCCCCCCAGACCCTCCACTAACGCGTCAACAAAATTATTCTAAGTCTCTTGGCATCTACAAACACATAGGTCTAGAACCACCTATGCTTACAAATTCTGAACAATTCAACAAATTCGTCAATCCTGGTCCTCTAAAACAAGCTGTTTTTCCAATAGGTGGCAGAGGAGTACGCTGCTTGTCGAGAAACGGTTGGATTAAGTGATTATTCTTCTTTCACAAAACTGGATCTGTGGTCGAAAGGCCGGGAAGTTGTTGATGTTCTGCAATACCTTTGCTCGAATGATGTTGATGTGGCTGTTGGAAGCATTATTCACACCGGAATGCAAAACGATCAAGGAGGCTACGAAAATGATTGTAGTTTGGCTAGGATATCAGAAAATCAGTAAGTGCAGTCTTTCTTACTACATCAGATATTTTTAGCCAAGGATCTTTTCAACCATTCCTTTAATCACCAGGAAAAACTCAGAAATCAGTGTTTTTTAGCCAGCCTGTGAGCTGAAAACCTGGAAAGTCAGGGAATTTATGGCGACCTGGAAAAGTCATTCTAAGGAAAGGAACTTTGCAAGTAGCGTGTCTGCTCAGGAGCGCAATTTAGAGAAAAAGAATCCAAGTGTAAGTCTTGATCAAAGGTCAAGAAAGTGGGGAATCTAAAAATCACATAATTATGGAAACCCTATCAATCATAGTTAAAATGAATGAGAGGGTGTGAAGAGCATCTCTCAGGTTAGCAACAGTAAAGTTGATGCAAAGCCATAACCTTCGGTGCTTGTACTCATCGTGAAAGGAAATAAAGTCAGTTATTCTATTCAAATTTCCTATTTAGAGTTACGACACGGAAGGCAACTCAACTGCAGATGCAAATCACATCTAATTAGACCCATCATCAGCCTCCTAACTTTCTGTAGGGTAATTCCAAACAGGGTTATTTTACTCAAATGAGTTTTAAGCACTGAAGGCTATGACTTCATGTCAACTTCTCTGTCTCTATATCATAGTTCCGCTCCATCAAGATTTAATCTCAAACGTTTTTACTCTTTTGTTTAATGTATTTTTCTTTCTTCTACAGTTATATGATGATAGCTCCAACAATTCAGCAAACCAGGTGCAAAGCTTGGATTCAACACCATTTGCCAGCTGATGGATCTGTTTCCTTATCTGACGTTACATCTATGTTCACTGCCATTTGTATCATGGGTCCGTTTACCAGGGTCCTACTTCAGGAACTCACCGATACAGATCTCAGCCCTAAATCCTTCCCATTCTTCACGTATAAAGTATGTCAGAGTTTTAATTTCCAAAAATATTATCTGGATTTTGTTAATTGCCATCTTTATTTGGATTGTTCATTCACTATTAATGTTATCCGGATTGACTATCTCATTCCACCTGCCATTCTTTGAGAATAGGATCATAGGAAGCAAAAAGGACTTTGTATAAACCATAGAATTTGATTGCTCACACTGGAAATGTAGACAATATCCCCTAAATATACCAATATTTCTGCTTAGTATGCACTGTTCCTCACTTTTGCCTAGAGTTGACCTTATTTTAATCAAATTTCATCTTCTTTTACCTTGCAGGAAATGGATATTGGGCTAGCCAATGGTATCCGCGTGATGAATCTTACGCACACCGGAGAATTAGGTTACGTTTTGTATATTCCCAATGAGGTGAGTGCTCAGTTTTATTACTCATTATTATTATTTTTTGCTTCAGAACAAACTTGTGCCCACGGTCTTGATTTGGTTTCATGAATTTTCCATTCTTTCTTGTTTTTATCTAATTCCAAGTTAGCACCCCAAAAATGGACGTACTATTGCAAATTTGAGTTTTATTTGCTTCTTCTTTTAAATTCAAATCCATACCAAATTATTCAAATTTTATTCTCATTGGAGACATAATGAATAATACTTTTTCTTCTGCTTCCAGTTTGCGCTTCATGTATACAACTGTTTAATTCATGCTGGAAAGAAGTATGAAATTCGCCGTGCAGGTTATTACGCTACCAGAGCACTTCGTGTTGAAAAATTTTACGCTTTTTGGGGTCAAGATTTAGATACCAGCACAACTCCGCTAGAATGTGGTCGAACTTGGCGTGTCAAATTTGAAGTTAGTATTTCTGTTGTTAATTCTTATCATTTTGTCTACATGCATTCGATTGTGAGAATAAAGAGTAGAACCAAATAGATATAATCTTTTTTTTGTCTGCAAGAAAGTGTTGAGTTGGTTTTCATATAGCTCTCAGGTAAGTTTTCTTGAATTCAAGATTCAACTTGATTTTCGCATTGAAATAGTATGAAGAGCTGTTTACTTGTAACAGTATATTGAATTTACTTTGCAGCTGGAGAAGGAAAATGTTCTACGCCTGACATGATAATTAAAAAGATCAATGGAAAACTTCTCATATTTAATTTCAAAAACTATGATTTGCCCAAAAAAAGCAAACAGCAAATACAACAAAATTTCTCGGGAATGCGCATTAAAGGAACAAAGACAGCAGCAAATTGCTACAAAATAAGAAAAGGATAAAATTGATGACAAAAGGGTAATTTGTTCTCTTGTATTGTTTAAATACTTTTATTTTCTATATTCCATCCGTTATCTCTTTTTAAATTTATGAGATTAAAATCAAAATATGGAACAAGAGTTCATGAGGGGCATTAAATGAAAAAAAGCAGATCATTTCAAATTTGTATTTTTATTTTTCACAGAAAAAATTCATTGGTCGTGATGCACTGCTGAAACAAAGAGACGAAGGAGTGAAGAGAATGTATATTCAGCTTCTCCTTCAAGATCATGACCCAGAAACAGACTACTGGTCGTGGGGTGGAGAACCAATTTACCGAAACGGCAGATATGTTGGCGCAACAACTACTACCGGCTATGGCTACACCTTCAAACAACTTGTAAGTTTCTTTTGTATTAAAAGATTAATATCTATACATTAATTAATAAAACAGGAAAAACATGAAAAAAACCGTATCAATGTAATGTAAGAATGAGGAAATCTCATCAGCACTGATTTTAGGTAGCAATTTTAAAGGAACAAAGCCGGTTAGGAAGTTTCTATAATTGATACTTCGTAATGAGTGATCATGTTTCTTCAGTATTGAAAGAGTCTGAATGTGGGTTTCCGTAAGTGGTTGGATGTATTTCTAAATTTTGTTGATCAGAAAGTGCTCTTTTTCAGGTTTGTTTGGGCTTCGTTCGAAACTTCGATGACCAAGGTGTGAGACAGAGAGTAACCAATGACTACATTCTCTCTGGCAGCTATGAAGTAGACATTGGTGGTATTCGCTACCCGGCCAAAGTCAACCTTCACTCTCCGATTTTGCCGACGAAATATCCTGACCAAGAGCGGGAGTCTTACTTCGCAACTCGTGATAAAATGGTTACCGAACCTATCCTTCGCCAACAGCAATAATCTTCCTTTTGTATTTTTTTATTCTAAAATAAATTTGTTGATTTATAAGTTGGTTGTCTCATCACTTTATCACCCTAATTACATTTTGCGAATCTGAGCTTAAAATTTTCAGAAAAGCTTTGCATCAAACTGGTTCCATGACATTAAATTAGCATTACATTTTGATGAAATGAGCAACTATTGATAATTCAGCAAGTATAATTGATGGATGGACGAAGAAAATCATAAGTCAGGATACGCTATAACAAAATACCTTTATAGTTGGTTGGTTTTGACTAATTTAATTAGCTTATACATTTCAAAATCCACATTCCTAATGTGATGCTGTAAACCGAGGACCAACCAGATCAAATTTAGTACAAAAAAACCAAAGCAAATTTCGAAGAATAGTGAGTCAAGGGCAGTTCCAAGCTCAACTAATTGCACCTCATTACATCAAATTTTTCACAAATAATCATGCCAAAATTTGGCATAAATTAAGAGGGAAATTCTTTTTTTTTTTTTTTTTTTTATATTTTTTTTTTTTTTTTTTTTTCTATTATTTATTGTTAACTTTCATATAAGAAATTTTAAACATTGTTTGTAATAGTAAATACAAAGGATGAAAATAACAACAGAGAAGTTATTTGTTCATATAATATTAGACCGAAGTCTCACAAGAATAACTCCTAAGGTCCACCCCCAGCCAGGGAAGCAGCCCCCCGCACGCGGGGAGAGACGAGCCCCCACTCCATGCAGCCGGGAGCCCCCACCCCCAGGGCCGGGACGACAGCCGGCCGTTACCATGAACTACTTTTGCGCGGCAGGTGATAACACCTGCACTGACTGTCACCAAGCAAAGAGGGGAGTGACCCCCGGCCGACGGGAGGGGCACCGCACCCACACACGACGGGCCGCCCCGCCAGCCGAGTGCAAACGATAGGAGCCAATGTCTCTAGATCAACTTGAAGCTAAAAAGCCTTGGAGGCAAGCTCCCAAGGCTTTATTCTTTTAAGTCTTCTCAGCTCGTTGGAGTTATCCAAAAGAGCTATAGCTTCAACATTGGGGTGGGAATGAAGACGGCTCTCATAACGTGTAGCGACTTTAGATATATGTTCGCTAACCGTCTCCATCCCCAAATCCCTATGTATGTCGCTATTTCTTTCATACCATCTAGCAGACACAATTTTTCTTAAGATATTATTTTGCAGAGTTTGCAGTATTTTTATATTTGAGGGTGCAGAGCACCCCCAAATTTGAGAACCATAGGCCCAGGTGGGTCTAATTATCTGTTTATAGATTAAAAGTTTATTATAATTGTTTAAGGTGGACTTATTTCCTAATAACCAATAAAGTCTTTTAAATTTAAAGTTGCATTCTTGTCTTTTCATTTTAATGTGCGGTTTCCATTTTAGTTTGGTGTCTAAATTTAATCCTAAATATTTAGCTAGATCAGAAATGGGAATGAGAGTATTGCAGAAGTTAATTTTATGGTTAATATTAATTGGTCTATTAGAAAAGATTTTGAAAACAGTTTTGTTAGAATTCATAGCAATGTCTTTTTTGTCTTTCCAAATTTCTACATTTAAGAGGTTATCTTCTAAAATATTGATCGCTACCTCTTGAGATTTATGGGCGGCCAGATAAGTGGTGTCATCCGCAAATTTTCCTAGCAAAGCATCCCTAGTGGGTTTAGGGATATCAGACGTAAAAATTAAATAAAGTAGGGGACCAAGTACCGATCCTTGAGGGACCCCTGCAAGGATCTGTCGACGAGTTGATAGGGTTTCTCCAACCCTTACTTGAAAAGTTCTTCCAGTTAGGTATGACCGTAGCAATTTAACATGAGCTGCTGGAATTAAGAGAGAAAGCATTCTAATTAGTAATTTATGTGAAACCCTATCGAATGCTTGTGCAACGTCTAAAAACGCTGCAGCACAGTATTCTTTTTGTTCTAGGGCTTTTTCAATAAAACTAGTAACTCTGTGCAGTTGTTCTACTGTGGAGTGTTTTATACGAAAACCAAATTGATGGTCGGGTATTATGTTTTCTTTGTTAATTACTTTTAGTAGTCTAGGTAAGTATGTTCTCTCCCAGAGTTTTGCAATGGATGATAAAAGTGAAATAGGGCGGTAAGAGGAAGGATGCTTTGTAGGTTTGCCATTTTTATGGAAGACTATGATAATTGCTTCTTTAAAAAGTTTTGGTACATATTGTAAGTCAAGAATTGCGTTAAATATTTCTACTAATTTATGTATAGCTTTTTCGGGAAGATTTTTGAGAATTAGACCCACAATGAGGTCTTCACCTGGGGCTTTTTTGGTTTTACAACGATCAATAAGTTTTTTAACTTCACCAAAGGAGGTTAATGGAATTTCATAATCGGGGGAAAGAAGTTGGCCGTCATCTAGAGGACAGTAAACATCTTCGGCCGTGGCATTAGGTTGGGAATTTGGTTTAAAAACTGTACTTAAATGGTCAGCTAATAGGGTAGCTTTTTGCTCGTCTGTTTTTGCCCATTTTCTTGTTTTATCATTGAAAAGGGGGGCATTATGCAGAGGGGGTCTTTTTAGGTAACTTGTAGCACGCCAAAGAGAATATTCCGACTGGGGTGTTGCGCTGAGGGTTTTAATGTGGTCAGCTAGTCTCTGATTTTTGAGATTAATTAATTCTGTAGTTACTTTTTTTGCTAAGTGGTTAAAATTTGTTTTATCGATTGGGTCTCTAGATCTTTGCCATTTTCTTCTAGCTTTTCGTTTATCTTTAATCCATTGTTTAAGGTACTGTGGGGTTTTAAAGCCAGCTGGAATATGCTGTATAGTAGGGGGAGTGGCTTGTCTCGCTGCATTTTGGATAACCTCAACGAGCTGAAGAAGTTCGGCATCTAGTTGATCAGTTGACTCGATTTGATGGTGTATAGATAAATTGACTCTATCATTGATGTAATCACGGAATGTGTTCCAATCGGTTGAGCGATTACAAAGTCTAATTGGAAGATTAGTGGAAGTAGGTGTTCCTGCTAAATGAAACAATACAGGTTCATGATCTGAGTTAAGTTCACCATCAATTAATGTGGTGTGCAAATGTGTTGGCGTTATGCCTTTATAGATTCCAAAATCAATAACATCGGGTGTTTTTAAAGGATCTACTGGATAATGTGTGGGTTTACCCTGTGAAGCAAAATTAGCATGAATAGATCTCGTTGCCTGATAGAGGTTTCTTCCTTTTTTTAAGATCTTTGATGAACCCCAGGCCGTATGCTTTGAATTCCAATCTCCTGCAATTAAGAATCTGGATCCTAAACGATCAAGAAAATTTGCATAGTCTATTTGTGAAGGGATATGGTGAGGTGGTATATAAACTGAAGCTATGATTATATCATGATTTTCAATGTTGACTGAGACTGACACCGATTGGAACATTTCCGTTTGAATAGTGTCATACAGGTGATGCTTAATATTACGTTTTATGAGTACTCCCGCTCCGGCGTGCGCCGCGTTATCAGGGTGCAAGGCGTGATAGAAGGTATAATTAGGAATGAATAAGTACATTTCCTTAGTCATTCTTGTTTCTGATATTAGGAGTATATCAACGTTGTAATCTTGGATAAATTGGATTACATCTGATCGTTGTCTTATGATTCCGTTCGCGTTCCATGTGACTATAGAAAAGTTTTTAATTGGGATGAATTGATTACAGGTCTGGTTAGGATTTAAAGGTAGTGTTCTTGGGGTTGAGATTATATATCGGTCCAATGTTAATTGATTGCTATCCATAATTATCATTGTAAAAATTAGCTATGATTAAGAAAATTTTTAATATATAAATTGGACGTGAAATAGAAGTAATTATTACGCTTGAATAATCGTTACTAATGAGGGTCATTCCATTAATAGTCCTTTCTTTGCTCCATCTGATAAGCGGCCCACCGTAAGCGTAGTCACTCTGTGAACAAAAGCTAAATAATGAATTATTTAATTTGATTACATATGTAAAAGATAAAGATAGTGGTCTATCATAAGTAGCCACATGGATATTTAAGAATAAGATTATGATTTCAGGTAAACTGGAACCTCTTTTTGAAAGTAGTATGAGTATGAACATAATGGGATGAGTGGACAAAGAGGAGTTCATCTTGATGAGCTTCCTAATTGAGCATCGTGGGCTGATAACTTTGTTTCTATGACGTCTAATCGTTTTCCTATGCCTTGAATAGCTGCGAGTATGGCGTTGAGGTCCGTAGCCGGGTGCGGGGAGGCATTTTTCGTTGCCTCTGCGTAAGTGGATGTAACAGTATTGGCTCGTCTCTGTATTGCAGGCGAACTTTGCGTTGATTGATTCCCAGTAGATGAGTTGATGTTGCTAAAGCGTTGACTGGCTGCTTGTTGTTTTATTGGACAATTTCTCGAACTGGCTACATGAGGGCCTTTACAGTTAAAGCACTTCGGATTTTCATTATAACCCTTAATTGTGCAATCAGTAGACAAATGAGCTCCGGCGCATTTGACGCATGCAGCCGGTTTCCCACAAAATTTTTGTGAGTGATTGAATCCCTGGCATCTTCTGCACTGGATGAGGATACCAGGTCTTACTTTGCATGCTTCTATTTTAACTATTTGATTTGCTATAGCTCTAATTTTAAAAATTCGTTCTGGGTCCTCTCCGTTTCCGAACGTGAGTTGATGCAGATATAACGGTTCTTTTTCTAATGGGCCTTTACCATTTTCAGGTTGCTTTTTCTTAATAATGTTAGAGGCACTAACTATATTAAAGTTTTGGTTTTTGAGATCTTCTATAATATCTTGTTCATCCGTTTTAGGGTGAAGGCCACGACACATAACTCTTAGATTTCTATTATTTTTGTTTTCGTGAGTATACCAGTATATATCAGGATGTTTATTAAATGCTTCAGTCACTTTCCTGTGATCTTCGTCGTTTGTAAAATTGATTTTAACCATTGTTTGGAGAGATTTAAAGGTATATTTCGACGAATCAGGAACCAATTTTTGGATTATTGGTCTGATTTGCGAAATGTCTATCGGATTTGTGACTTTAATTGGGGGAGGAGGCTGTGATTTAGTAGGTATAGCGTTCTTTATCGCAGCTGGTACATGTGTTACTGGTTTAGGAGCTATAAAATGAGTACTAGTAGTGATGTTTACTGGGGTGTTTTTCTTACCAGATTCGGGTTGTGAATCCGAGTCTTCACGCTTACGTTTGTTCTGCTTTGCTACTTTGGATTTTCTCGAGGCTGCAATTCGCCATCCTTCTAGTTCTGCGTCTACCATGCGTTCTTCTTCTTCCTTAGAAGGATTGTTATAATCAATTTGTGTATCTTGCACTTCCATATAATCACTATCATTATCATCAACTAGTGTAGGAGATTGGTCAGGTTCTTTCTCTTTGCGTTGGCGCTTGCTATCAGAAGATCCTGGGTTTAATCTCATTTCTTTAAGGGCTATTTCGAGTTGGCGTTTATAAGTTGCTGTTTCCTGTTCGGCTTTAGCTTTTAGGTCCTTTATTTCATTAAGTTGTTGTGATGTTTGTTGACGAAAGGTGTCGATTTCTATTTTAATTTGTGCAAAGTAACTCTTAAATGAAGAGGAAAGTGATTCTATTATTTCTTTGGAGCTTTTGATGGCATTGATAGTAATATGAGGATTATCTATCGCGTACTTTTGAGAAGTAAATTCATTAGCTTTGATTAAGAGATCATTAATATTAGCAGGTAATTCGAAACTAGATGCAGATACCTGGTTTACACTAGGTTCATTAGATTGTTGTTGCGCAAGTTGCGCCACATCATCAGTTCTATTGAGAGTTTCAGGCAATGTCAGTTGTTTGGAAGCCATTAAGCTTGCACCACCACCGATGTGGGCACCAAAAACCAACACACAATATTCACATAATTAAGGAAACGATCAATAATTGTTCAATGTGACAGCATGAGCAAGGCTGCTCAGCTCGGTGGAGTTTCTAGATTTAAAGCAGCGATAAGGGAGCACACAGCACTAAGACGACCGCTCACTGTCACGCTGATAAGAAGACTGAGGGAAATTCTATTGCAATTTTTGATTCTGATAATATTTCGATTAAACACTGTCAGGAAAATCGCAACAATCAAAAAATTCAATCCCAACTTATTGAAATTCTTCGACTCTTCAGCTTGTTTTTGGAAGAGGAAAATTTTGTTGGATGAGAGATGTTGGACCAATCCTCAGAAAACCCACTAAAATTCTCCTTCAGCAGGTCAATTTTCCAAGTCCTCTTTGAAGACTTTTGATTTTGACAGCCAGACGAGGTCACATTCTAGCTGGAAGAGATGGCAACAGAGAAAACGTCATCGTAGCTGCTAGCTTTCTTTAATCACTCAGTTCCTCTTCATCGCTGAAGTAAGAATTTTTCTTGAACTTTTTCCTCTTTGCAAACTGCTGTGGTTCTCCCTCTGATGTTGATGAAGGCCCACCAGTTTTGTTTGACTCTGCTTGCTCCCTCTGAAATGGAAAATTTTTCTAGCATTAATCAAACACTCAGAAATCACTCCACGTCAGAGGTGGAAAATTGTATGAAAGTTCATACTTAGAATGAAATTTCACAAAATTGTTCAAAACTTCTGCAAAGGACTCAGTATATCAAGAGACCCATAGAAACAGTAAAATTTCAATTTTAAAATTGTGAAAAAAAAAATTGTGAGTAAATTTCGAAGTTTCTTATCAAATTCTCAGATAATTGTTGCCGGTTGCATACGCACCACACATCCCCTAAAAATCGTTGAAAATCATTCTGTGAAATTTCTTTTTGCATTTCTGCTCCACATAATGATTTAAAATGTCACATAGTAATCAAATGCTAAGAGTTATTTAATGGAGAAAACCTTATACCCCAAAGAATCCTCTTTTCTAAATGCTTGAGCTCACTAGCAGAGAGCCTGCATTAGAAATTGACAATGGATGCTAAAATTACACAGTAGGACGATATCCTCATTAACAATTGATTTTCGAATTTACGATTGCAACGATTGTTTTCTACAATAAATTTTCAAATGGAAACAAATAGCACAGTATGTTAAAGTTCTCAAGAATGAAGTTCTTCAATTTTCCATTCCCTGCAACTTTAGTGATATCTACAGAGAAATGTTCTGTTGAAAAACTGGGAAAAACTTGATTTTTTTTTTTTTTTAATTTTGAATGAAAAACAATGACTGTTTGTATTTTCTAATTCATTCTCTGGCTCAAAGTCACTGCGGACTGGCGAATAAAAAAATAATATTGTCCCTCTGGAGGAAAAGAAGAGACTAGTAGTTTTCAGCAATTTATTCTTTGATGAGTTACCTGATTTTTGTGGATATTTTTACAACTGCAGTTGCCTTCCTTATCGGTTGTAATTATTGATGCACCGAACAGCATAACTCTCTGACAAGAAAATTGATGCTTTGATGTACTTCTCTCTACAAGGAGAATATCAATTTTGTACTGAAATTTAATGCAAGTTGGCAAAATCACCAACACTCAGAAATTTTTTGGTTCCCTGTTGATTTCCAGGAATTTCCTGTTCTTCCAGGCTCTAGCCTCCACTCAACATTTAAAACTGTGGCGAAGATGAATACATTTGACAATGCCTCTAGCATAGGCAGATGATGGAAACTAATCAACTTATCTATTCAGATGATTAGAAAGGAGTTGGTAAATTACCTCCATCTGAATTGCTGCACTTAGGGTTTCTAAGTCTGGTTCTTCCCCTTCAGACTCCTCGCTGGTTTCACCATTTACAGGTTTCGGTTTTTTCCTTTCTTCTCGCCAATCATCATCATCTGAATCAGCAAGGTATTGTTTCATCTAGGGAAAACAAAATAAAATGATAAATCTATCAGAAAATATCTTTGAACGAATCAATATGGAATGACAGTAGCTGGAAATGTTGGTAGTAGGAGTTGAACTCATTTTTTGTCCTACACATTCTCATGTCAGGTTTAAGTGTCTATCATCTGCTCTGAGGGTAAACATGTAGTTGTTTGATTAAAAATAATGTAGATATAATCTGCTATGACTTTCAAAGGATGTCTCATGGGGCCATTCATAGAATACTCAATGCTAATTTTTAAAACAATTTTAAACAAACAGTAAAAGCACTTGGTTAACATTTACTTTTGTAAAACTCACCACTTTCACTTCTTATAAATGTGATAAAAAGTGAAAGTGGTGAGTTTTACAAAAGTAAATTTTAACCATTTTACTTGATGCTTAATTTCGGATTTTCTTACCGCCCTACGTAGTGCTTTTGTGATGTAGGGCCCTTTACTTTAATATGTACAAACAAAATGGTGTGTCCCTCTCCTGGACTTCTCCTTCCTCTAGGGCATTATGTTTTCTGAATGATCCCTTAGGACATAGATATATCGATGGTGAAACTGCAGAAATAATTGTCTCTGTTTATGATGTGGCAGACTTCTTGTTGTACTTTATTTTCTACATGGAAAACTACTAATTGTCATTTCTTAAAAATGCCGATGTTCTTTCTTCTCCATGTTAAGAATATTTTGTAAAAATTCCAGGTCATGATGATGGTTCGTTCTCCTTTTACGAAATAAAGTAGGAGAGGAGATTTTTAAACACCGCAACCTAGGTACGCATTTTTGCAGTTTCATCGTCGATTTGTGATAGCTACTTACATTTTCTGACATTTCCTTTTTCTTTCTAACTTTCTCTTTCTTGGGCGGTGGCTCTCTCTCACCGAGTGCATTCTTTGGGCATTTATAACTCACATGACCTTCCTCCCCACACTCGTAGCAGGAGCTCTTGTCTGTGTAAACTTGTTTTCGGATGAATTCTGCACTCCTCCCATTATCTTTAGCGATACTGCTTTTGATGGTTCTACCAAACATCTGTAAAGTTACAGGCAAGCGATGTAATTATAGAGGGCTTAGAGATCACTGTTTGAAAGCTGGGTCAAGTTTCAGTTAGAGAAAAGCTTGACTATAAACTGGATAGGAAAGTTAGTAAAACAAGAAACTAATTAAATTCAGTACCTATGATCTCGGTTATTTTTTTTTGTTTGAATTGCTATTATTCATAATAGAGGTATAATTATATTACATCATGTTTTCAGACTTTACAGGTCTTTAAAAATGTTTACTTATCACGTGACGGACAATATTACAACAATAAAACACTCTGATCAGATGATAAAAAAAAAAATTGGTTTCTTGGTTATTCACATTGCATGACCATAGCACACAAGAGCTCCATTATTGTAGAAGTTTTGAATTATTAAGAACCTTTGCTTACATCTTTCATATTTGTTTCTTTTACACAATGGTGAGCGTCCTCTTTGTTCAAAAATAGGATGAACGCAACACCTTTACTACGCCTCTTGATGCGGTCTTTGACGATGGTGACCCTGAAACAAAAAGGCCCAATTGGTTAAAAAATTCAGTTGTACCAAAACCAAAAAAAGCCTTGGATAAATTTTTGGGGAGTGGCCTTAAGTTTAATTGAAATTTTTACAAATCATAATAAAATGTTTCAAGATTTTTTGATCCATGAAAGATATTAGGTGTGCAAAAACTTAAAAAATTCAGTGAGTTCATGACATAAGGGTGTTGGGAAAAATGGCAGTGGAAGTCTGGCTTTCAATCACTTCACCTTTACCATTAGTACACTTAGTTGCAATATGGAGAGTGAACAGTGGGGAATTGTTCACTGTCATTAAGACCGCGTTAAACAGAAAGGAACCAAGCCACATCAGCTATAATTGGGCAATTTAATTTTTTACATGAAAACGGTTTTGTGGATTTCCGTGGAAATTTCAGCTAATTTTCTCTATAGCGCAAAGCTAGTTCCTGGAAATTTTTAGAGGAATCCAGAAAAATGTTCTCTTGTAGAAAATTTAATGGGCCCGTTAAATTTGGCGATAGCTGATATGGCTTGGTTCCTCTTTGTTTAACATGCTCCATTAGATGATCGCTACACTTGCTAACTGATCAAACTGTTTCAGTTTGACCGGTGGTGTAACTACAAATGTATGGGCAATCATAGATCAAAAAACAATTTTCATCAAATCAGATTCTGCTCAATGATTAAGTAATTACAAACATAGCACCAACGATAAATGCTTGTGCTACGGTATGATGCGCAGGCTCTCATGTCCAGGAATTTGAAGCGCCTCACGAGGTTATGCTGTGTACCATCGGCTGAATGCCCAGCTAGCTGCCCTGTTGGCATACGGCACCACGCCTAGTGCACGCAACTCGCCGGGGCCGGCTTCCAGCATCGATACCCAATGCTGACGTGCCGTCCAGGCTAGCATAACGCCCTGATGCTGAGGTTTGATTGCTGAGGCAGCCCGGCCCTGGGCGCTGGCGTCCGACATGTCGGAATGAGATCGCTTCGGCATCATGAAGCCATGCTAGGCGTTGGCTTCGCCAGATTAAGTTGCCTTGCAGGCAGATGTGACCCCCCGGCGCACTGTCCGATGGGGCATCAAAGTCCGCACCGGGTACCTGCCTTGCACAGCGATGCCGCTGCATTTATGATGCTGCCTCAGTTCTAAGTCCCTGCCCAGGACCGCACAGAAGAATGGATGATGGAAATGTCAATTGGAGATAATTGAGTACAAATTTTGAGAAAACTTACTTGACAACTTTACCATACTTTTCAAATAATTTATGCAGATCATTGTTTGTCAAAGAAAAAGGAAGATTCGAAACATAGACTGTGCTTCTGCTCGGGGCTAATTTGTTAGACATTTTTAACAACCTGGAAACTTTTGGAGTACTGTTCTATCAACCATTTAAAAATTGATGAGCTGAATAGTTAATACACTGTGGAACTAGGAAAATTCGAAACACAAAGTAGAGAACACAAAATTGACAAAACCACGAAACCAAAGACAAAACTCATGCGGACCTGGACTTTTATCAGAAAGTGTGTTTTTGTTTACATCTTTCTGTGATAACGTTTCCAATGATGTAATGTTGAGATGTCAAATTTTTTCAACTATTCCTTACTGAATCACTGAATGAGCGATGAATTGAATAGAAACTCGATACTTTAAAAATGGACAATTTGAACTTTAATAATCACTTTTAAAAAGTTAATTTGATTATTTGAAAAAGGGAGAAAATTTTGATACACTGTTGCTTTCGGCATTTCTGCACTGAAGCTAGATCAATTTGAGTTTGGTGTTTTAACACACTTGGCGTTTACTCATCGCAAATTCTGATCAGCTGTGTCAGTTCGCGAATTGACTTTTTCAGCTTTTTGTGAAATAAATAAAGGTTTGGTAATTTCTAAATGTTGTGTTTACTAAGTACAGCTGCCATTAAGTCTCTTTGATCTAATTATTCCAATCTAAGGTGAGTAAGTGACAGTTTTCTGTACCAAAATGCAATCTAAGTTCTGTGGTGCCATCTTCAATTCAAGGCTTAACCTTCAAGTATTGACTAAATACTATTATCAAGTAACATTACTGATTCATCACCACATTCTCTTGTTATAATCTCTCGTACTTTACTCTTTTCTATGTTTTCAATTCTCCTCAAATAGCAATTGCACCTCTCATGGAAATTCAGTTCAGGGATCAATGGCTCGTCGAGCAAAGCTCGTCATGTTGGGAATACACCCAGAAGATGAGTAATGGAGTGATGGACTTCACTTCCTTATCAGCACGCAACTAATCATTGATGTGTAATTTACTTGGATGGATTAGACCAATTGCTGTCCCAAATTTCCTTGCGTCCGTAATCTATTAACTTAGTCCTAAGGTGTCAATACATGTCACCTTTGCTCGTCGTACGTTGAGAGAAAAGTCAATTACTTTTTTTGTCACCACTCATTAATGGTGCCATCGATTGCATGTGTTAACCTGTTGAGTGGTGCTGGTTCAAAGCTAGTCAAAGATTGACTTTAGTCTTAATATTCAATGGGTGAGCTCTATCCAGTAATGTTCCTATAATGTCAGACCTATTTCAAAAGATCGTAGATGTTACTGTACTAACTTAACATTAATGGAACTGTGCTAAATTTCAGCGTTCCAAATGAATTTCAAAGCTTGCTCCACTGAGATAATATCTTTTCTGATTCTTTTGTTAGATATTCTATCTTGCTCAAAGATCAAAGGGCGAATCATTTGGAACCCGCTGTAAAATTGTGCTGATTTGAGTGGTACGTGTGTTAAAATTATGGCTAACTTAGGGTATTAATGGCTAGGTTCAATAGATCTACTTCCTTTAAAAGTTGCTACACGTGAGTTTTCGCACTTATTCACATTTTTACATCAGGTGCCATGTTGCTTCTTTTTGACCTCGTTCTTTCAAATGCTAGAGCTCTAGCTTTGATTAGACTAATGTTTATCGATGGCTAAATGGACTTTTAAAAACTCCGATAAAGTTCTATTTTTCTCAAGACAAGTTAATCAAAATGGGTCTGTGATATTTTTTGTGACCTCCTCCGAGTGAGTGGAGAGAATTCTCTAAAAATTTGAATAGAAACTTTTGATTGGTTTCCATAAAGGAAATAAAACATGAGCATAGACTTACTACATCCCAATCCGTGTTACGCATTTTTCGACTTTAGTCATCGATATGCTGAACCATACTTAGCTCCACATACCACACTTCTAGAAAACTTATTCTTGTTTTTTTCTTTTTGTCGCCAGATTTTGAGAAAATGGCTGCAGGACCATCATTGCAGGTAAAATATAAGTCAAAGCCGTTAAAAATAATAATAATTTAAATATAATTTCTCTGTCAATGCCCAGTGACCTTTTTTCCAAGCTATTCTCTCATTTGCTCATGGCTAGCTGTGTCACTACTAACAGACGCCTGTGAATCAAAGCTCATTGTCTGACTGTCATCTCAAAATTGTTTGACATTGGCGCTTTTATAGATTCAACAAACTGTATGAGCAAGAGTTATGTGTCCACAAAAATATCAAATAAAACAACTAAGTGCACTAGGAACGTCTAAATACATGTCAATCAAGCCCTCTCTCTCTCTTTCTCTCCACCTCTCCCAGATTTAACTCTTGAGTCTCAGTAGTTCAAATGGAGCTGGTCATTTCAGACAATGACAGCCTCATTGGTGTTAATCCTTAACGAAACAATGTATACTGATTACTCACTGACAAGGATTCTTTTGAAGAACCCAATCCTGCACTTGCCATTGTCAGCTATGAAGATTCTATCGGTTTCTTTAATTGCTGGTGCAATGACAATGATGTATGCAATAATTTAAGTACACCCACTAGGCAAATGTAAAAAATAACAAGAATCTCAATTCCTCAATTTTGTAACAAATAAAAACATAATCTGCACTGCGTATTAATCTTGTTATTATAAGCTGCATTGTTTTCTTTTTAAAAAGAAATCTTGATCCCTAATTAACTCAAGTGCTCACCTAATTTATTATTTTATTGTATTGATTTTACAAATTTATGTCTGTTTCAAACCAGAAAGCAATAGACTTGGTCACACAAGCCACCGAGAAGGATCGGGAACAGAAATATGAAGAAGCCCTTCGTCTTTACGAACATGCCGTAGAATATTTCCTCCATTCAATTAAATGTAAGGAGCAGTTTTGTCTTATCTCCTCTCTCAATCTATAAGGGTATGGCTACCCTAAAAATAAAAGAATCAACAGTCATTTAAGTAGGTATGGAGGCCAGCACCTGACAGCTGCTCAACCCGTCACAGTTCCTGCGAATTACTTTTTTGCCAATGATCCACCCCACCTTTTTTTTGCCGGCCAGAGCAAAATCAAAGAATGCCAAACAAAATACAATATCCATTTGAAAACACTTAGCTGAAACATTCAACTCTAATACAAGGCCAAAACGCCAAAATATTTTTTCCCTGAAATTTCTTGGGATAAAATTTCAAGAACAAATTATTTTTGCCTTTTTTTTTTAGTTTTTTAGTGTCCAAATTTGCTAGAGATTGAGAAAATTCAATAATTTAATTTTGTTTTTAGATGAAACAGCTGGTGAAAGAGCGAAAGAAAGTATCAGAGCAAAATGCTTCCAATATTTGGAGAGGGCTGAAAAATTAAAGGAATATTTGAAGAAAGGTAAACAACCTGTGAAAGATGGAGAGTCAGTTTCAAAGTAAGTTTAATTTTAGTTCATGCATGGTAGCTCAATTTTAAAGGTCTATAGTTTACAAAAATAATCAGTCTTAGCCAGTCATCAAATTCTGTAGTGTGATATATTACTCTAAGCTTGGGTCTAGAAGCTCTTAACAGCCATTTTTTTCAGGTTTTTCAAGTTATTGTTGTTTTTCAAACCAGAATTCAAGAGAGTATCAGGGCAATTTGGCATTTATCAAATTCTCTACTGTTGCAAAGAAATGATTCCACAATGCAGTCTAATGCCAACCTTTGCTCTGAAACTTGCAAAAACGATGTATGATGGTAATTATGAGCATTCAGTGGATCACTAAAGGAAGTACAAATTTAAGCATTTTAAGCACAAATTTATGCAGCATACTGGCATATTTTTCTCTTCAAAATATCATGTAGGACATAATTTGCACAACGAAAATCACTAAAATCAATTCCCAACCAAGATATTAACACTTTAATTTAGCATTTGTTACATAAAATTAGAATTTCCCGCTCTCATGTAAAACTAGTTTACTGGAATCAAATTGCGCAATACAGCGGTTTTGGCATGCTTCTGAAACGAGCATTGTTCCCTCCCTGCTCTGTGTTGTCTAAGTGTTAATAATATGCAGTCCTGAACTAAAGCGCTCAGATTAAGGTTGGCATCTTTTCATACCGCAAAGACTATCACAGTAACGTTTAAGGTACGATTTGACTCGATTAGATTATGGTTTTTTCTATGAGCGGGAAGTTAAAGTTCATGCATCAATAAACACTAAATCTTTGCCAAGAGTCGATTTCAATAATTTTCATTGTACAAATCGCATTCTACATGAAACTTCGATGAGAAAACATATATCATGATGGCTTGACGAACCTTGTGTAGTGGTCCGTTGTATCCAACAAAAATGAATTGCTCTAACTTTAAAAATCCACCTTAATTGAGACCGATAATACTTAAAGAGTACAAGAAGTCAGAAGGCGGAAGAATATAAGCTGTAATATTTTAATTCAATTATTTTATGTATATTTTAATTTATGACCATTGTGTTAACTAACATTAAAATGAAAGTCTCTCCCATCTCAAATGACACAAAAACTTCTTTTTGTGAATTAACAGTTATGTAGAAAAAATGTCAATAGATCCAAACATCTAATTTTATTTTCACGAAATCCGTCTCATTCCTTTCATAATTTTTTTAAAGGGGCAGCTCCAAGAAGGGAGAAGACAGTGATAGTGACTCCGATGACCCGGAGAAAAAGAAATTACAATCTAAACTCGAAGGCGCCATTGTTGTTGAAAAACCGTGTGTCCAGTGGTCGGACGTAGCTGGGCTGGAAGGAGCCAAAGAGGCTCTCAAGGAAGCTGTCATCCTTCCAATCAAATTCCCTCATCTTTTCACTGGAAAAAGAATCCCATGGAAGGGAATTTTACTGTTTGGAGTAAGTATTCAAAATTTATTCTCAATATTCCTCATCAACTTTTGTTTTCAATGCAACAGATTTGCTTCTTTAGTCAACTTTGCAAACAGCTGTATTTTGAAACAATTAGGGAGAACCGAGAATAATCGGGATTTCTGTTGTTTTTTGAGCTTTTCATGGCTCTAGTGCTGGCCTTGATGCACCTACATGAAAAATGGGGTATCATTTTCTTAGAAAAGTTTATCAGCTAAGTTTTGATTTGACTATTTTTTTGATGATGCATTTTTGATCCTAATGAGAGTTGATGTTAGTCCTTGCTGTTGGTGGAACAGCTTCTGTAGGCATCATGCGTGGAAGAATCAGATTGTAAGGCGTAAAAGTAAGCAAGTATGTAATGCTGGTCAAATGAGGTGCCTCAGAACTGACGTATGTAGTCTCAAGCTCTCTCATGTCTCAGCTTTTTAGCAAGATTTTTTGTATTGCTAAAAAATTGTTTGTTCTTCCGAAAAGTTAAACTTACTCATCAAGATGCATCCTAAAATTTTTGACTTTTAAACTTTGCTCCCTGAAACTAGTCAATTATACATCAAAAACTTTTGTAAGCTACTTTAAAAATGTATTAATCAAAGTTTCTTTTTACCTTGCAGCCACCCGGAACAGGAAAGTCATATCTTGCAAAAGCTGTAGCAACTGAAGCAAACAATTCAACATTCTTCTCGGTCTCATCCTCAGATCTTGTATCAAAATGGTTAGGAGAGTCAGAGAAACTGGTAAAGAATCTTTTCGAACTGGCACGACAACATAAACCTAGCATTATCTTTATAGATGAAGTAGACTCTCTGTGTTCGTCCAGATCCGATAATGAGTCAGAATCTGCCAGGCGAATCAAAACTGAGTTTCTTGTGCAGATGCAAGGTGAGCCTTTGTGATTTTTTCAGTTTGTCCTAAATGAAGTTAAAGGGGATGGCAACCCTAAAATCGGTAATGAGATTGTTTTAAAAATTGAAGCGGGATGGTATGAGAAGCAAAATGGCTCTGTCCCGAATGAAAAATTCGCAAAATCAGCAGAGATATGAAAGATTGTAAGAAAAAGAGGTTTGAGGTTTTATTCCTCCATAAAACTTAATGCTAAGAACAAAGTTTGGCGTCTAATTTCATGTTCAAAATATTTTTGCCACCTTGAATTCTCGGACGGAAAACATTTATCACCATCTGAATTCAATCTAACATCTACCAATTTTTTACCAGAATGCAGCTCTGTGCATTTATGTTAAACTCAGAGCAAAAGAAACTGCGTTAGGTCAAACTGCATGTATGTATTTAGGAAAAAAATAATACAACTCTTTAGTAGTAAGGGTGAACAATCCTGCTTTATTCAAGGGCTCAACATCGGCCTGCAGGGGTGCATAAAGTTTCAAAATTCCCACTCTTCGCAGCGATCTGACTTTTTTGCCGCATGATCATATTTCCAATTCATCTCAAGCCTTAAAGCCAAGCATCAAACTTTTTAGCAGAATACCTGGTTTGACAATAAAGTGTCCAATTTGTCCCACTGTTTCAAAATATCAAGAAAAAAATGCTCATCATTTTTTAAAGTTGCCTCACAACCCAACATTTGCCTTACCTTTGCTGCGATCCTGAGATCATGAGACTAGACATTCTCTGCATCCTTGTTGGCCTCATTCTACAACCATCGTAAGGTTGAATTGCATGGGTCTAACTGTTTCTATTGTATATCTTCATAATACTCTTAACCTAATTTTTTTTTCTTATAGGAGTGGGTAACGACAATGATGGAATATTAGTTCTGGGAGCGACAAATATTCCATGGGTTTTAGATGCTGCAATTAGGAGAAGGTTTGAGAAAAGGATTTACATTCCTCTCCCAGAAGAGCATGCCAGACTATTTATGTTCAAACTTCATCTTGGGAACACATCTCATTCCTTGACGGAGAATGATCTTAAAACATTAGCGTCCAAAACAGAAGGGTAAGCAAATTTCATGCCTTTGTTTTACTCCGTCATATACTGTTCCAGATCAGAACTTACTTTCTCAGAGGTTTCCAAATCTCAAGAGGAAAAGGAGCAGTCATGGATTGTAGCTCAAATCTTGTCTTAATTACTTATAAAACAAACAGTTACAAATTTGGTTTTTTTTCAGTTTAAAATAAAGAATTTCATCAATATGCAAGTGTTTTTGGAGACTTTTTGGTGTTTTTGTATCAAATTTTATACGCTAAATTGTACACGCATCGGAAAACTAAGTAGAAGGCAGGTAACAAAACATGCACAAAAGTTTTATGAAATGCGCAGCTCAACAAAACAGCTAAGCTGAGTTGCATGTTGTCACCAATGTGTTAAGCATGTTTCAGAAGTAGCTCATTCACACTCCACTAAAATCGCTATGATGGCAATCCTCTGAGTCTTCTCGGTTCAATCTCTACAATGCAGAAATATGAAGCACATCGAACATCATGCTGGATCTATCATTTCTGAATTCTGAATTTACACATTTTTACAATAATCAACCCTAATCCTAAATGAGCTTGTTCAGTAATTTTAATTCTTGCATTTATGAAAATTCTAGAGGCTCACCAAGGTTTTTCTAAATTTTTTAACGATATCAACAAATGATCAATTTGTCTGTAAGTTACATTCCAACTTATCTATGCCTAATGTTTATTACATGTTCTCTTGAGCAGATACTCAGGTGCGGATATAAGCATCGTAGTGCGAGATGCGTTGATGCAACCTGTCCGCAAAGTCCAAACTGCAACGCATTTCAAGAAAGTGAGTGGGCCATCTAGGAAGGATCCCAATGTCATCGAACACGATTTGTTGTCACCTTGCTCACCAGGCAGTGAAGGAGCTATCGAAATGTCGTGGATGGATGTACCCGGGGATAAACTTTTGGAGCCTCCTGTTACAATGGTGAGTCGCAATTCGATATTTTCATTGTGTATCTTTGGTGCTAGTGTTGTACCCTTTACCTGTGATCAAATTGAACCTAACACAACATACTCAAATCGGTAACCTGTGAAATATCATGGTTTTATATCCATGGTAACACCCTTACTGAAAAGAATAAGTCGAAAATAAAAAATTTTCATTTTACCTTTTCATTACTCAAGATTTATTTTACTAGTAGATAACTAATTGCTCAATTGCAACACTTCAAATATTCGATTATGTCAAATTATTTGGAGAAGAACTGATCAAAATGTTCCCTTGCAATTTTGTGTAATTTTTTAGAAGGAGTCGAGAAAACTCACAAAAAATATAATAGAAACTGTTGGTCAGTTTCCTTTAAAAAAAATACCACATGAACAAAGACTCAAACAACATTACCGTATCGAATTTCCCTCTCCGCAGAATTTTTGAATACTTATCTTTTCATGCTCTTGTAATTTTATATCTCACAGCCTGCTGAATTTCCTCATAGTATCTAATTCTCATAAATTTTTCCTAATTTTTGCAAAGCTAAGTATTTTTGACCAACTCATCTCAACGACAAATGCACCTTATCTGTTATCGTAGATACTTTGCCAGATCTCATCTAGACTGGCTATTCAATGGGGTTTTTTTTTTTTTACATTAACAGTCGCAAGTATAATGTAAATAACTTTAATTAAGATCAATTTTTTTCCCCTTAAACCCTGTGGTTCCCTGTTTCTACCATTCATCATTCAATGTGTCTATGTTTCAGAATGATATGCTGAGGTCACTAGCAACATCCAAACCCACAGTTAATAGCGATGACATGGCACGACTCGAAAAATTCAAAGAAGATTTCGGACAGGAAGGTTAATTCATCGACCAATTTCAACCTGGAAGAAGGACAGAACTTTGATATGCTTTCCTGTTGCTTTTTTATTATGTTCAGTTAAGCACCTTTCATTTTAGGTACTTAACTCTGTTTATTTATTTTTTAACAGCACAATTCAATATCTGAACTCGCGATATGTTCATGGAGAAGAACACGATTGTACATGCCTGAAAAATAGAGCACTGTTTCAGTTTGTTTTTACCTGAAATTACATGAGTAGCCACAAGAATGCCTGTGATTTATAGAAGTGCTTTAAAACTTCAACGTTACCATCCGTAGTTTGTTGTAATTCTCGATCACCTGTAATTTTTGATCATTGTAAAGTATTGAATGCAAACGATCATCTTCGACAGGTTTTTCTTTGTATTACCTTCTATCTACAGGATAACTATTTAAAATTCATGTTAAACTTTTTATCTTGAGATCTTATCTTCGAAGCACTACTTTGCATGTGAGTTTGGTATACCAGTAATTAAGGAAGACTTTTACATTTCTTATGGCAGAAGCATCAAATTCCTCAAATTTCTGAAGGATATGTTTGAATTAGATCCTACATTCTTGATAAGGTATCGCCAAAGTAGTCAGGTAATATTTTGAGTGCAACAAAAAACGTACCCTTTTCATTTTCAGATGGATATTGTCAAGTAAAAACCGAGATGGTAGAAGTCTTGCCCCCAAAAATAACCAGCGATTTAATTTGACCCTAGATCTAACATCTAAAAAATGTTTTAGAACTAGGTTAAAATTGTATAAAAATCACGCCTGTGTAAATATCTTCTTTTATGTCGGTTCATCATTCACCACTGGCGCAGGTATTAGTATTTAAATTTTTTACTTTGTTTCTCTGCCAAAAACATTAGCATTTGAAGACAAGAGCATCTTAACCAGAGGAGAGAAAATAAAGAAAAAAAGGAATACAATTACTGTCTTGTAAAGTATGTATTATATTTAATGCTTGTAAATATTTATTTTTTTAATTCTATATTTTTTTATTTGTTATTCAGCAGAAAGAGAAAAATTATTTGAGATACTGGCTGAGAGAATAGGGCTAACAAATCTGTACGCATGTATGTAGGAAAATCACATCATGTGCTAATAATAGTGCTAAAAGAGACTGTTCAAACAAAAATCTAGAAACTTTGAATCCATTAGTTAATGTTGACGGGCGTTAATCATCATTTTAATTTTTTAATGTATTTCACCCTCTCACAAGGCTTCGCAACTCACTCGAATATTAAAACACAAAAAATCTGAAGCTTCATTTTGGATTAATATTTGGACATCAATGGAGCGAAATGGATCCATCTCTGAAGAAAATTTTGCAAACAGCTAAAAGTTGAACGGATTACCTTCGTCGGTATTTCCATGATCAGAATGAGTCATTGATGTTTCTGTTGAGCGTTGTTGATCTATATCAAGAGGCACTGCTGTCTTTTGATTAACATAACTCGCGAGCAGAGTACCAAATGAATGTTTTTTGATATTCTGTTTGCGATTTATGTTGATCTAAAAGTAGGAGTGTCTCTTAATATTGATCAGCAACTTTCAACGGTCGCATTGAAAACCCATTTTCTTGGAGGAAACCAGGCGTTTTTTATACTCAGGCGCCATATTGCCTAGCTTTATCAGCCTTTTCATATTGCAGTATAAAATAGAAAAAATTACTGTTCCATAGCATATTTCTGTTCAGATTTTATTTTAGTCATTGTTATTGACTTGAAAATATTCGGAAAATGGATTCATTTTTTTTTTCATTTTGGCAATTTGCGCATGTTAGATCATACTAAGTCAGTGAGAGTTTCTCTTAGATGTTAAGTTTTATTTTCCTGATCTACTGAGCCCCGTACTTTTGTTGATAACTTTTGTAATAAAATGTTTATCTTTTGTGAATGACAAAATCCAAAGAATTTTTATTCCCCTTTACATAATAATGTCATGGTTTAATTTCCAGAGAAATACTTGCAGTAGCGCCTTTTCGTTCCAGCCTGTGAGGATGATGCAATTGATTGTTCAAAAGCTCTCTTTTGAATACACTTTTATGTACACATACAAAGAGTATGTTCTCCACTTGTAAAATCCTTAATTTTTCCACCTTTTCACAATTAATTTGTATGCCCTTGGGACTCTCCAAGGATGAGAAATTCAATTTGAGGGATAGAGAACATCTACTCTTTTCCCCCATACCTGAATTTCATGAATTTCAGAAATCAGTGAAAATTATTTCTGACTTAGCTGTATTTATTTGCAGTTCTACAATAGCACAAACAGGAGGATAAAAATTGGCTGGAAATATTAATAATTCAAACCGATCGATCAATTTCAAATTTTTAATGTAATAAATTGATCAAACAAATTCTTCTTTACAAAGGGAAAACACGAAGGAAAAAAACTTAAGAGAATGAAACAACAAATAAGTGGAGGAATCTCAGAGGAAAGGCAGGTTAACAGGGCCAATCTCTGATGCCATGTAAATGTTATACATCAGTTGAATCCATTTGTCACTTTGAAAAAATACCTGATGACTGATAAGGCGATTAAACTATTTCAATAGACTCACTTTCAAGGTAGTTACTAAGTACATACAGGCTTTATAAAATAAGATTTAAAAAAAAAATTCTTATGCATATTTTAGCAGCCGCTAATCGGTACATCAACTCTGTCCCTGAATTTTATCTCCATATCGATGGCCAAAGTGAGACTTCAAGTAGGTATGCCTGTTTAAAACATTGCAGACTTCCTGCAATACTTGATTTTTTCTTTGGAAAACTAGACAACGTAATTTTTTAAAAAATTCTTTGATTTTTCTTCTCTGTTAGCTGGAAATTTTATATGAATTTCAAGCAATAAATTTGGCTCTTACCTCCTTGAAAAAATAAAATTACAGCACAAATTTAAAACGTCGCAAGGAAAGTACATCGCAAGGAAAGTACGTCGTTTAGCACTTAGGCCATCGATATAAGTCTTATGAAGAAAAAAGACAGTAAGTTACCGGAGATTTTCTTGTTTTAATCATCCAACCTAGAAGTCTAGATGGTTATCAGAGCTGAATGTTCGATCACTAGGTTGAAACTATTTACTAATACTAATTTGATCATCTTTCAGCAGTGGTCTGTGAGCAGAGTTCCAAGTGACTTGTAAAATAGCACACCTTAAATGCAAAAAAAAATTAAGAGGCTTGAACACAGATTGAAACTGCATGCCCATTAAATTTAGCAAAAAACTGTTGCTGAGAACATAAGAAATCTTGAAGTGCGAGAACATAAAGCTACAATTTTTAACATGGTTGAAATTTATAACAATTGACAATAGACAATCATTTGGTGAAGACGCACCCCGCTGACGTAGGAAGCAGATTACATTGAGCCAGGTGATATTCTTTACATGAACTTTTTTACCTTGGAATCAATTGCCACCCTCATCAATATTTGAAAATTAGATAAGGACAAAAAGAAGAAGTGTTTTTACTATGTTATGTTGTCAAGGGCTGCGCTGTAAGATTTTATTTCACAATATGTACTTGTTAACCCCCCCTCAACGAGATATATTTCCGTCGTTTTATGGCAATTTAAAAAAAAAAAGTAGAAACAATTCTTTGATTTATTCTAGTGGACCACAAGACAAGGCACGAGTTTAAGCATTCACATACACGTGACCTCTCCAAAATTTTACACAGAAAAACGTGGAACAGCTGAGCCAAAGCCTGAAGATTGAGGTTGCCATGCTTTCATATCATACTGTCAGACTGATACAACTAGTGTGTGATATAGCTCACGAAGATTACAGTTCTTTTATGAGAGGGAAGTTAAAATCTACGATCTGAAAAATGCTAAAATCTTGATTAGGAGTTGTTTTTAATAATTTTCATTACACAAATCTTGTTCGAAGTGAGATTTTGATAAAAAAACATACATCATTATGCTTGAATTTGCACCTTGTCAACTGACCCATTGTTACAAAAAAAAAGTAAACCCTTTGGAAGGAAAATCATGAGTTTTGACCAAATTTTAAGGTTTTTTGAAAACCATACAGCTAACAAATTCATTAAGTAGAGGATTCTGGTACATACTAGCTTGAGACATAAATAAATTCTATTCCTTGTGGTAGGATTTTTATCCGTTTTTACCGAACATATACCTACATGAAAAAAGTAAACTCAAAACTTCCTCCCCTATTTAAAACATTGAAGAAGATCACTGGTAACAAAAGTCTATCTTCTCTAGGAGTCATTGAATGATTACAAAGTTACGATTTGTATCTACGAGTACACTTTTTCTCTTCAGTGATTCAGTTGTTTCACTCTTTACTCAGTGATCAGTTCATGATAAAATAACTTGCCATGTGGGCTCTAGAGAGGTGAACTCTCCTTTTTTTTGAGAAAGAGAGTAAGAGCAAAATAATTGTTAGGATCAAAGAAAGCTGTGTAACCCACTATAAACCTTAACCTCCTAGCTTACCTCAAGTATGTGGGACTGAAGCAAATGATTAAGCAACCGTTCAGGAAAAAGGAGTCAACACTTTGAGAAAAGGAGCAATTTTCAAAAGACCAAGAATCCTCAATTTATCATTTTTAGAGCCCTGCTCATACATTGTGATTGGCTAAACAAGCTGCTTGAATAATAGGGGCTTCACGTACGTGTGATTGGCCACAGAGAAACGGCCATTGTCCGTGGAAGCAAAATTTTCTTCTGAGCGATTTTAGTTGAGTGGGTCAGGAAATCTGATTTCAAGATTTGAATAATAAACCCTCTATGATGCTTCGAATAATAAGTTGCAAGCAGTTTGGTTCAATTTTGTAACAATAGAAAGCACATAGAAATCTATTCATTCACAAGAATTAAAGTAGCATGCATATTCATGATCTACGACCTGTAATTAATGCTCATTATAAAGCTCTTAGCTCCATGGAGAAAACACAGAGGGTGGTGGCACAGAGAACAGAGTATTTCTAAGCCAAAACTAAATTTGAAATGGGCTGCCTAACACCTTCTATATTCCATCTATGTGCGCTTTCTTCTAAAAATACACTAATATTTTTCCTTGGCCACAGGGATTTTCATATAGACTAGAACAATGACCTAGCATAGTTTACAATAAATTATCAATACGAGAATAGAATTAAGAACATGGTACATGTGAATAAATCCAAAATTGGCAAAAAGGTTTTTGATAATAGGTTGCACAAAAGGTTGTTGGAAAAAAAAAAAAAAAAATTTATACCTTCAATCTGATCAACATTCTTCCTGAGTTTAAATTTCAAATAGGAAAATTGGGGATATCCAATTGTTCACCAATTATTACTTTGTTTACAGATGCTAAATTCCCTAAACCAATTCCAACTGATAGTGAGCAAAAACTTGCTCGTTGAATTGACAACATCGGTTTCCTGAACTAATTTGATCAAAATTTGCCCTTGCAGGAGCAAATCTGTCCTAGCTAAGCAGTTATTCAATGCTGGAACTAAATTGTGTTAACTTCCTGAAGTGAAAAAATCAGAGTTATTTTAAGTTCTAAGTGGACTTCACTTTTAAATGAGCGAACATGAGGTTTAAACACTAGAAAATAAATTAATTCAGTGGTGAGCTAAGTGTCATTTTATGGGGCAATTCATATTCATTCCCTTTCTCCCAAAAGTACTGGACAAATTTATTCAGTACAAGATTCTTTACAAATACTTTGTAACAGCTCCAGATAAAATTCAGTGCTTAATGCGATCATTTCTTCTGGGAATAAAACTAAAAAAAAATTTGTTACTTTCTTCCTCACAACTCAGCGAGCTTGTTTCCATGATGCAAAATCTACTGGTAATAATCAGATATTAAAAAAATCGTTCAGAAAATTTGCTTTACAAACAAATACATACGGTAGACAATAAGAACCTAGACAACATCTATTTCTACTTGAGGTAACATTTTTATCTAAGGCAAGAATTTACAATTCCACCCTTAGAAATAAATATAGAAACAGATGAAAAACGTTGATTTTCGGTAAAAGCTGTTCCTATAATTTGTAATGATGGTTCCATAATATTTTAGTGAGGAAACCTTCACACTATGAAAAATTGGGCAGAGACACACAGATGCAGAACTAGAGATAAGGCCAGGCTGATTTGAGCTCTGCCCCTACTTCTTTGGTTTTCTCAAAACTTAATTTAATTCTTTTAAATTGTTTTAAATGAAAAGAATATTGAGATACTGCTTTTTTTTTTCAAAAACCATTATTTTTTTAAAAATCATTTTCCGTTTCCTGATAAGATCAATCGGAAAAAAGAGACAATATGAGAAACCCATTCAGTTTTTAAAAATACAAAACAATGTATACTGGATGGGGACCAACATAGAGATAAACAAGGAACAAAATGTAACAATATTTTGTGCTTAAAAATTAGCTAAAATATTAAAATCACTAATTCACCTGCTTTGAAGCTACATTTTCAGTCAATTGCTATAATCATAGGAAAAGTTTAAATTATCTAATATCTGATTGGGAGAGGCTGCTCTCTACAATAAACGGCAATCAATGAAGAAATGAGGGATCCATGACATTTTATTTTCTTGAGGAGAATAGTGAGAATGACTTGCTGAATATTACACAAAAAATTTGCACTTTTGGCTCCCGATCAAAGAGGAATTTTTTAGGACAAGTAGTTAAAGCATTATTTTGAATTTTTGAGTTTTAAAAACAGTCTTGAGCGTTTTTAATTTTTCAGCATTAAAAAAAGACTCTCTCTCCGTCTTCAAAAGACCTTTCAGCAATTTAGACGAAACATTTAGACTATATGACTGGGTGGTCAAGGTAAATTTGCGCTTCTCCAAGTATCTCAATGCGATCATGGTAAAGATCAATCCAACGTTGAGTGAAAACTTCAAATACGGTTTCATTCAATGGGTACTATTTAAGAGGAAAAAAGTATCAAATTCCAAAAATGCTGCTCCTGGAGACTTCATCTCTTTCAAAGCTTAAATACTAACTTAGAGTCCTGGACAAAATTACAGCCCCTAAATTAGATTTTACAGGGGTCCCAAATGTTTATTTCTCACTGGTATGAGCATTTCCACAAGGTTAACCAAAAATTGTTCAACAGTTTCCCTCAGATTTTGTTTTTTGGATACTTTTTGAGATTCATGTAAAAATAGTCAATGACAAGATGGATTGTTAGATTGAACTATATCTATCCATTCTATTCTGATGAATAATTTATCTAGTTCTTAATTGAGATTTTCGAGGCAATAAAGTAAGTTTAGAGAAATTTTTAGAGAGAATAGTTTCGAGAGTAGATGAAAAATACATTTTCCATTTTTTTTTCTTTCTACGGTGTAGAAATTATGAGAGCTTCTCTGTCAAATTTTCTTTTAAAGGCGTTAAACTTTCCTATGAAGATAGCCAAAGGATACAAAAAATCAAGTATTCGGTTAGTGGTGGGTATGTCGCAGGTAATCCGTGTTAAAATACACAACAGTTACTGTAATATCATCCCTGAATAATCGCACCACCTCTTGAGGTAGCGAGAGTATATGCGCAATTTTACTGTGCTCTATACCATATTCAGAACCGCCTAGTGCATTTCGGATGAGATGTGTTGCTGCATTCGAGTCTATTGGTTTCATTTTCAGGCCTTCTTGTCGCTGAAGCAAAAGATCATTTATTTCATTCAATGTCATCGACTTACGGGGCAGCTGCAAGGGATTTAAAATGACTTTCCCACTCATATGTTCTCCGACTAGGCGAACTACTTGGAGTGGTGAGATTTCATCCCAGAGTCCATCTGTTGCAATGACTAGAAATTTGTCCCGAGGGGTGAGAACATGGTGAGTGATATCAGGTCTGGCAGTCAGATAAGGTGGGGTGAAGTATCCGTGAGGGACTGCTTGATCACCGAGGATGGGTACAACTAAATCTTCGAGTACCTTCTTGTCCCACTTGTACCTAAAAAAAATAACGATAATTTGTTAAATTCAAAGAAATCAAGTTTTATTCAAGATGGCAATATACTTTATGATACAGTCATAATATGAGGCCATATCTGTGAGGTAAACAGGTGTTTAGGAGGTGGTACCCTTTTTAATTTTTTCTCTATTTTAAAACACTGATAATATATTTTGTTCCTTATTTCTTTTTGGAAGTTATCAAATATTTATTTTTTTCGTAAAATCATAACAAAAACTCAACAGGAATATCAATTTGATCAATATCAATCACTCTGCCTCTCTTACAGTAGCTAGGTGGTTCATTTTATGCCTAAAAAAAAAAAATTCTCCGTGAAAACAGCGGATGTGGACTCTTTTGAAAATCATTGTACCTTGTTGACACTTGCTTTTAAAAAAAAGGGTAATTTTTTAGAGGAGGATTCCTTCTGTAATAAATTTCAAGGTCAAACCCTATTTTCTGCACGGACATCAAAAAGCAGCGTTGAGAACATCAGTGCCATGTGCATCCGTGGATGATCACAAAGGTCTAAAAACCTACCTGAAGTCACCAAAAGCGCGCAAAGGGGCCAATTGACCAAGAAGCCTTTCTCTTCGAATGACTGAGTTGTGCTCTGTCTGTGGATGCTCACTTAGTACACGCTGAACTTCTTGAGCATTATCTGAATTATGATCAATACTCAATTTTTTGGCCGTCCAGATGTTGTCATCATTGCGAACACCTAATGAGGATTACAAAGCAGATAAAAATAAAATAGAGTACACTGAAATTTAATGTGAAAATTCCTTTGAAGTCATTAAGTGAGACCTACGATGTCTCATCCAGAGTCAATAAGACACAGCGTGATAGTATGAGGTGATACATTTGGACTACATTTTGCAATTAGGAACCACAATTTCTGAATCATGCGTAAAAACACTCATACGCATAGAGAAACTAGTGGCACCAACGTTCTTTCTGCACTGAGTAAAAAATTACAGTTCCTGATAGCAAAATGAAGCCCATTCATTACCTTGGTTGATTTTTTTGATTGCTTTCTTGTAGAATACACTGTCAAAATAACCTTGCTGATAAAAGTTCTCTTAGCCTTGAGCAAAAGCTTCGAGATATAAAATTCCCTGAAATATTCCTGATGATCTTCTTTTGATTACCCAAAATATAGGGATTTGCCAGTAGGTTAAAAAGATATGGTTTGAAATGGTTTTTACGCAAAATTTGTTAGGCGAAAGGCCAAACCCATTTTAGAAAACAAATCAAGGTGATTCAACAATTTTAACCTGACTTTTTAAAATTTCCTGACATTCCTGGATATTTCGTGACTGGCAAACTTTTAATGGGCGTAGAAGTATTGTAAAAGTTACAGATAATTACCAAGAATGGCTTGACAATCTCCAACACTAGCTACATGCAGATGGGGGCCATCAATATGAGCAACGCAAGAAACCGCTCCTGAGAGACCTACACTGAGCGTCTTCATGTTCACATTTTCATCATCTATCAGCTGAGCTTCTCTTGACAGATCTGCATCCAGACTCAAAAAGGCTTTCTCCAAGGCATCCTTCATTTGAAAGTCACGGTTTTGACTTACAGATAGTTCATCTAGGTACTCCTTGAAGTGTTGTGCATAAAGGAGTTTAAGGTCTTGAACAAAATCGATGCTATCATTAAATGTTTTGAGGAGTTGATTTTCACCAGGAGATCGTAAGTATTTCAACAGGAGGTCAGGAGGGAGTAGACTGGCACTTATATATTCGAAAAGTCGCTTCGATAAAACTTGTGCACAAAGAGCTCCTCCATGACCATCGAAGACGCCGAATAGCATACCTGTAAAATAAGCACAAGATGAACGACTGTATTTACAATTTTAAAACAACATTAGTGCCAAGGAGAAATTTACTTCCTTCCTCACCTTTTGGGTAGAGGAATTATTGTCATCCTTTGTGAGGTGCCAGAGATTTCCCTTTTTTTGATATTCATTAATTCTTTACACCTTAATTACATTGATTTGCAAGTATAAATAGAATGTATACTTACTTGTTGTTACAAATAAATTCTTATTTGATGAATCATTTCATAATTTACATTGTATCTACGTTTTGTCCCTTTCACAATAAATTAGGATTGATGCTCCTTCTAAGGATATCCCTCATTTCAGACCATTACCAGATGTGAGTCTGATGTAACTATTAAGATTATCATAAATGTCTCTCCATTTAGAGTCCATATCAGATAAGTTTACGTACTTCTAGGCTGCGACAGAACGTCACGACTTCTGATGTCACTTTGACATGGAAAGTAAATGCGAGAATCAAAATGTCAGATCTTCTGTCAAAGACTAAAGATGCAAAGACTAATTTGGCATGGAAATGAAGTGAGAGATGATTTGAGGAACTTTACAAACTAAAAAAGATTAGAACTCATCAAAAAACTTGCTACTTTTCAGAGTAGCGAAAGCAAAGATGAATTACCATAACAAGGTCTTGTAAGAGGAGACGAGAATTTTCAACATTCTGCGTTGGAGAGATTTATTTTTAATTTTTATAATTTTTTTCTCTTCCTTTTGTTTCTCCTCAAGTGCTTCTAGGCTACACTCTCAAAGCGCTCATACTTTTTTCAAATTTTTAGGTTTGAAACCTGTTGAGGCTATGATCTATCCTCACACTCTGAGGTTTTGGTTGCATTTGGCACAATCCATGGTTAGTAAGAGCAAACAGTTTTTTCAACCATGCTTTTTTTACCTGTTGTCAGCACGCACTTAGCTTCTGCCCGAAAGTCTTCGATTGGATTGTTAGAAGCAAGCTGGTTGGAGTCATATCCTAGAACAGAGCCTTCAGTTTCTAGATCCAAACTAAATTCCTTCTCTCGTAGAATATCAGTCACCTTAAATTAATCAGAGAAATAAATTAAGAGATACTGGACAAGGGAATAACTTTAGGTACGTGCTGAGTTAAATAGTTAGAGACACATAGAAAAAATGATTCAGTCAAAACTTTGACTTGAATTCCTTTTTTTGGGGAAATACAGCTGTGGAGTAGTATACCGAGCCCGAGTCAACCCGCTTGGCAAAACACAGCATCTCAATAAATAAGCCAAAATTAAGCGTGACCTAGGAAAAGGAGGGAGGTGAACAGGGACAATTAATTGTGACCACAAAGAGTTAAATGGTAGATCAATCGATTTATTGCAAAGCATACCACATCACTGCCTCCAAGCCCCTTATTGGTGATTACTGTGAACTAGGTGTTACATATATGTTTGAGACTGTCAACAATGATCTCTTATTCAAAACTTTGAGCTTTAGTCAAGAGGTAAGTAAAACAGTCTTCTTGCGTGATGCTCAAATGTTAAATACTCAGGAAAGATAAACTGGGCCGAGTCTGTTGGGTAAATGCATTCCAAATACAATATTTACCTACTTCAATATTTCATGCATGGTAAAACTTCACAACAAGAAAAATGGCTGGAAGATCCACACTCTTTCAGAGGAGTCATTTTATGGTGGACGTTTCTTGACAACTGAAAATTTAAGTTGAGGATCAGAAGGACCTTCTCCTCTAAACAGTAGATGTTGCTATGAGGGCTGAGTCTAAGTAACACGGACATAATGCATAACGATTTCTGAGTAGAAAATAGATTAGGGTTCAGATGAATTGAGTATTTTCCTTCAATACTAAAGCGATTGATTTTATTAGATCAATAAATAAGTACAGAAATAAAAATGTCACCTCTTGGGGAGTAAGACGAGAGTGAGAGACAACTGGATCGGAAGTGTAGGATCTCTTGATAACATTAGGTAGACTTGCTTGCTGATTTAGGGATTTGCTGCTATGATGATAGCCACAACTGAAAATATGCTTACAAAATAAAGCACGGAAACCGGGAGAATCGACGCATTTGCTGAGCACAAGAAATTTAGCTGAAGATCCAACAGCCATACTAACTTAATGTAAATATGTGTCTTTGGAATCCATGAACTTGAAACAATGGCCTCGACGATAACAGTTCGGCTCGGTTTTACATCGGAAATGCTGATGAGATATGATTAAATAAAAATTAAAGATTTTCAGAGCTGATAAAGGTACGAGACCATGAATATGAAGTCTTATCAAAACTATGAACTGAGCCAGGCTTGAGTTTTGAGGTTAGGTGTGGGGAAAATCAAAACAAAAAGAAAAGCAAAAGTTGCTACACGTGACCAACTACCTCTCTCTAAAACGGCTCGATACCATAACTTAGAACAATGTTTTAAGCGAACAATAATAATAAAAAAAGTGTCTTCCTGGAAAAAAAGACTGAAAAAACGTAATCGAATGGAAATTTGTCAATACTAGAGATGAAAGTTCCTTAAACCGAGTAATCGAGTTGGGGAATTCATTAGTTTACCATTGGTAGTAAGCCACAGCGGCGCACCATTCAAATTATTCGCTGCTCCAAGCAGAAAGCAAGTTGGTAAAAAAAAGAAAGACAGAAAAAAAAACTCTTTTAGAAAATCAGCAACATGTGATCCCAAAAATTTAAAATGTTCGCCTGGTTACTGGTCACATATCCATTTTTGGCTTATTGTCATAGTGCAGATCCGTCCATTCATCGCGTGAGGCACTAAAGGTTGAGGAAGGGGAGGGGGGGTTGTGACTGATTACGGGTGCCTCAACCC